AAAATACTTTAGACAAAAAGTGGAAATGTCAGTAGTTAGTAATATTTTCCTCGTTTTGTCGGAAGTCAGTTATATTTTTTGCCGTTTGTCGAAGCCGCCCTTCTGAGGGGCTCGTATTCCGAGGGCTTATAGGCGAATTGAAATTTGCCTTTCAAAATCGGTCGGGCTCATAAATTAAGTTAGAACGTTTTCACATCCTAAAGATAAAACGCCTTTTTCAACAAGGCATTTAGAGAAGTGACAACACAATAACCCACCTAGAACAGTGTCCAAAACAACAAGAAACACTCGTAGTATTTTAGTCCGTTAGCTAGAAATCTAAAGGATACCTTAGTTTAGCGTATAAGGACAAATCCCAAATATATATATGCTGACAGAGGCTTTTGCAACCACGTGACAAGGCCGCCATTCTATACAAGAAAAAACTTTTGCAGAATTTGCATGGAAAAAGAGAATGTAGAAGCGGAGGCAAACGTTTTTGTTCTTTAGTGTCAACTAGCATTCAACATGGGCCGCCTTGACGGTCAGTTGCAAAGCCTCAGGCAGCATACAAAAGGAACTGCTTTTTTGCTTCAAAGACCCTCACACGGTGTTTTTTCAACTTTTGACTGGGACCATTTGGCAAAAATCCGTCAACACAGCTGCAACGAAAATCTATCAAAGATATTAGCTCTGCAAAGTCACGGAATTTTACAGACATTTCTCGAGGGTAACTTCGTGCCCCCCACCATACAAGCGTCGGTAAAATTTTGCTACCTTAGCTTGTAGAGCAATATATCGTCGATCCCTTTAGACTTTTCACACATAAACTTGGTACGTTTTCGTATTTTAAAGCGCTCCTTCCAGAGTCAAAACTATAACATATCCGTGAAAGGGTCTATTTTGGGGGCTTACATTTGGTGGTGCTCAACGAGAATTATAAAAGAAAAGAAGTCAGAAAATTTGATAAGAAATGTCGATTGCTGAATTTTCAATGACCTTGTGTTTTGGTTTTGTTGTTGACCAATACTACTCATAAATTGTATTGGCTATTTAGAATACAAGAAGAAGATTCACGTCAGGTTCTCGTCAACTTGTATAAACGGAAAATTTATTGGAAATGAAACGTGCCTTCTTCTTTAAAACCTGCATAAAATTCTTTGACGTCATGTGCTCGTAGTTGCTTGATTGGCAGGCATAAATGGCAAATAAACATAACATAGATGGAGCAGGTGGCATCCAGGTTACGCTCTCCCAACAAGAGGCGAAACAATTCCTTCTCCTCCTAAGAGAACTGATAATTTTGCAGGAGATTCAGTTTTCCTCAAACAACCTGCCCGTGTCATCATGGTGAGGTGTTGTAGAGGCATATGGTTGGGTTTTAAGAAGCTCATCGTACGATGTCTGGTAAATCGATCTGGAATGCAGAGGAATCATCTACTATGTTGTCGGAAATGCAACGGTGAGAAATATATGTCTAAAAAGGAAATTCTGCAAAATAATTTTACAAGTTAGGAATGTAGTTTGCTGCCGTATCATGTTTACTTAGGTCCTCTGACAAAGAGGTTCTTTGCGAAAGGTTAGTTTAATCAATGCAAGCTTTTTTCTATCCACGAGCATATTATATGGCCAAAATGAGCGTCTTTCTAGCGTAAGGTACCTGTTAGGTTTATTCAACAACCTGCTAGATTTGTGTAAGCGTTACTACGCCTGGATCGAAGAAAAGCAAAACTTTATCATGAATTTCACCAATTTTGTTTGCCTCTATAGTTGCCGATTAACAAGAACTCAGTTTTCATTATACCAGAGGACCAGTTACTTAGGGAATTATCTAACAATTCTATAAGCGTCTTTTTTTTTTTTTTACAAATTGAGCCCAGTGGATAATCGGAACGTAAAGTCAATCAAGGTTTTTATCATCTGCGCTATACTATTTGAAATTCAGTGATGAAGGTGGCCTCTTTTGAAAGCTTGCAGAGAAGCAATTTATTCAGTTTTGCTAATTACTCACATATCATTATTATCATATTCCAGTTACAGCGTTANCTAAGAGAACTGATAATTTTGCAGGAGATTCAGTTTTCCTCAAACAACCTGCCCGTGTCATCATGGTGAGGTGTTGTAGAGGCATATGGTTGGGTTTTAAGAAGCTCATCGTACGATGTCTGGTAAATCGATCTGGAATGCAGAGGAATCATCTACTATGTTGTCGGAAATGCAACGGTGAGAAATATATGTCTAAAAAGGAAATTCTGCAAAATAATTTTACAAGTTAGGAATGTAGTTTGCTGCCGTATCATGTTTACTTAGGTCCTCTGACAAAGAGGTTCTTTGCGAAAGGTTAGTTTAATCAATGCAAGCTTTTTTCTATCCACGAGCATATTATATGGCCAAAATGAGCGTCTTTCTAGCGTAAGGTACCTGTTAGGTTTATTCAACAACCTGCTAGATTTGTGTAAGCGTTACTACGCCTGGATCGAAGAAAAGCAAAACTTTATCATGAATTTCACCAATTTTGTTTGCCTCTATAGTTGCCGATTAACAAGAACTCAGTTTTCATTATACCAGAGGACCAGTTACTTAGGGAATTATCTAACAATTCTATAAGCGTCTTTTTTTTTTTTTTACAAATTGAGCCCAGTGGATAATCGGAACGTAAAGTCAATCAAGGTTTTTATCATCTGCGCTATACTATTTGAAATTCAGTGATGAAGGTGGCCTCTTTTGAAAGCTTGCAGAGAAGCAATTTATTCAGTTTTGCTAATTACTCACATATCATTATTATCATATTCCAGTTACAGCGTTAAGTTTATTAAAATCCTCTCTCCGTGAAATTCATCAGTGGAAACTATTGCCGACTGATGATTCTGAAGCGAATCAAACTTCATTGTCAAAATAGACTGACCATAATGAAACTTGCTTTATGCTTCTTCCAGGCTTATTTCGGCTACAAGTGCCTTGAAAAAACTGTTGGATATATTTTCTACCACTCTGAAAAGAAACCTGAAGCTTGGCACTATACAAGGGCACCCAGCCAACGACTGTTTTCTGTAAAATATCTGTTCGGGGAAGCATATATTGCCTAGAATTTTCTGTATCTTGAGGACGGCTTAAAATTTCCAGATGACCCTTCCATTCATGCACAATTTTGGAAGCTTATCTAATAAATTCCTAGGATTTTCTGAAGTATAATTTTTCACATTTCACTGCCCTGGTTAGGCTATTTTTCGTACAAAAAAGGAAACCTAAAATTTTGGGATTCAAAACTATTTATGGAGAGAGGAAACAGAAAAATTTCGTAATACGTTAAATTGCGTCTAAAATTTTGGGAAAAATAATACTGAAGCCCTTGTAATTTCGAAAAGACTCGTGTTCCCCAAGGAAGACCGGACAGATCCAAATTTTTGAGTGCCGCTGAGAATGCATTTCTAGAGATCTTAAAGTACTCAGGATAGCCTAAAAAGTGTTTTCAATGTTTTTAAGAGGAAACCATACGTTTCTGGGTGCCCCTGACTATATCCCCAGCACCGTAGGAAAACTGAGCCATTTGCTGCGCTAACTATTGTCAGTACACTGCTACATCCGTTCGTCATTTTTTCCAGATATTCAGACACCTTTAAGCTTAAGGTTGCTTGGCGCTACACTGAAAACCAACCTGTTCTCTGATTCCAAAACAATGCAATTATCTAATAGTGGTTCGTCCTCATTTTCTTATCGGCGAGTTTTGTTACAGTTAAAGCTACAGCATTTGTTGTTCAGTCTTTATTTACACTGGAAATACCCTTTTTAGTTTTGAAAATTTTCATCACGCTGACTTTCAAAACAACATGCATGAATCCAGTAAATTTCATTTCCATACTCAGCATCTCATAAGTATGTGTTATAATAGAAGACGTCCAAACTGTTGTATGTGATTACATCAGGTTTCTATATATTTTAAAGGTTGTATTTCTTGGAAAAGAACTGATTAGAAGTTTGCCTGTTTGTTTGACTCGTAATTGATGTTTCTCAAATATGCCAGTATACTTTCCCTCTCGTACTGGTCGATACGCTTTTGAACATGTTCATTATACTGTGATGTTTTGTGAGAATGTACTGAATGGTCTTCGTGAAAAAAGTAGAGTGTGCTGCGATGTCACTGATAGTATACGGCAAAATTCGGAAAATAAGCCCCGGGGCTTATATTTTTCGAAGGGCCTTTTTGAGTGGCATATTTTTGGAGGGGCTTATATTCGGAGGGGCTTATCTTCGGAGGGGAATTTGCGTTTCAAAATCGATTGGGCTAGCCTTATAGTAGGAGGTAATTTACCGTTTTTGCTTTGTTTTACTTTTGATTTGAGGCACTTTTCCAAGTATAAGCCCCCGGGGAGCTTATATTTGGAGGGGCGATTTAACGGAGGGTTTTTTGCGTTACCGGTTTGGGGGGCTTATACATGAAGGAGCTTATTTTCGGAATTTTATAGTATTATATTAATTTTATTTGATGTTTTCCAGCTTGTTGTGGTTCCTGTAACAGATGCTGTTGTATCTGCCTGTCGCGTGTTCCCTGTGCCTCACTGATTGCCTCATTTATCTTGGCGATCGGTTTTACTGGCTTTGCTCTTGGCCTCAGTGAAGGTGTCAAAAACCTTAACAAGTTTCTCAAGATGGATATAGTGTAAGTGCAGACCATCAACATTCCTTATCCATCCACTGAATCGGAGTAGGAAAACATGCTTTAGAATCAAACTAACGACCTCTATGACGGTTTTTAACGTTACGAGTAAAGGTAAAAGTCTTAAATTTAACGTCGATTATTCGAAACAGTACTCATTAGATCGACAAATCTGAGCCAACTGTGCACACATTTACCCTCCCCCCCCCCCCCCCCCCCTTCCGTCAGTGCTCCTTTTTACGGGTATTTAAAGCTACTTAAAGTTAGACGGGAAAGGAAAGAAGTTGAAACAAAGATTTGAGGTCTTACCTGGGAATCGAACTCTATCGGAACAGCATACTCCAGAAAAACCTTTCCAGAAAATAGCTGAAAAAGTAAAGCCCTTGCTTAAACAGGAATTCAACTAAACCTCGTACATCTGCACTTTTCCCTTTAGTTTGATCATTTGCTTGTTTTTACCGCACATTTATGCTTAGAAAACCAGGATAAGTTTCAACCTGCGTCTTGGAGTTTTACCTAAGGATGAAATACTGAAACGAAGGCCGTATCATTGATATTTACAGTGACCTGGCCTCATTAGGGATCATGTTGTTTGGCGTATTTCTGGGGTCAGTCTCGGGACTTGCTCTCTTGCATGGATTTGCAGCTACAGGTCGCACTCGGTTCACAATTTATAGAGGATGGAAATGTCGTCTGCTCGGAAGGTGGTGCATCTGCTTTGTAAGTCTATATCTCTATGAGAAAATAAATGCTACGTAGAATTTGGTTAAAAAGTAGCTAATTTTGGAAAACAGGATATGAGGGATAACTTAGTTCCTAGGCCCCAAAGTTTTTGCTGCGCGGTCAAATGAATTGACTTAGCAGGCCTAGAAGAAAGTTTTAAAGAGGCGAGGCGAGGTTGGTCCGAAAAGAATCTACGGACAGCTCTGACGGAGTCTCTATATAAATAGCTAACGAGGGCAGAAAATTATAGAAAAAAAGACAGGTGCGAATTAATAAAGTACTGAAAAAGTTCAAGACTGTCTTTTAATTAATTCCAAATGGAAATCTCCTTCACGCCAAATAGTCTTTGGATACACGTGACAGCAATTTTAAAGCCGACTCATCATTTTTCCTTTATTTTTTTCTGTAGCTGTTTGGATGGCATTATTTTATGCTTTTTCTGTGGTTGTTCCTCGCTCCGATGCTGCTTATTCCCCTTATATTCATGGGAATCTTTTTTGGAGTGTGTCAGGTGAAAGTCGTCAAGCAACTCGGAAAGACCTGCATTAAATTTGAAGAATATGGTAAGTACAAATGACAGTAATAGGTGGAGAGATTAAACCTAGAGTGACCAGTGGATTAGCTTGGAAGGGTGGGGGGGAGGGGGTGGGGGTTAGGTGAGGAGGGGTTACACGGGTCGGGCCAAGCTATGTGCTGTGTTTTTCTAAAACTGACATTTTTCGGATGCGCAGTGAGCTTGAGGGAGGACAAAAGCCAGCAAAAACGCCGCATAGATAGATGATGGATCATACGTTAAGAAGAACCGAATACGCTATCTCCTCATACAAGAACCACTAAAAATAATTTGATGCGAGGAATTGTTCAACAAAGTAAGCTTTGAAACGAAAGTTTTGGAGAAAAATTTGGATATAGGACGGCCGAAATTGCACGGTTGCATACCAAAGATGCGATAAACCTAAGGTAACAACTGTTTCACGGAGAACGATATAGAGACATTCTCGCGAGCCGGCGATAAAACTGCCGACTTGAAACATCATGTCGATGCTGGTCGTAAATTGTTACACAAAGATCTTCCAAAGGTCATTTTTAGCAAGTTTTGATTTGTTTGGTGCTATTTGATGTGTAGGTATTGGAGATCTTGTCAGTCCAGAAGAAGTTTGTGGCGATGACTTGCTGTTATTCTGCGAAGCGGTAAGGTTTACATCTCTGATTGGCCTGCAAACTGGACGGCTTAGAGTAATCAGGAAGTATTCTTCAACACTAGTACACTAGTGCTTTAGGTACAGGGGACCACAGCCCCTCAGGCGAGTCTCACCTGTATATCAGCTAAGCCTTCTTTGTAATAGACACCTGTTCATGGCCGCGACATCAGACGCTCCGGTTGGTGCAGCTTGTTTCGGGGTACCCTGCGAACAGTGGCCCATCTATCTCTTTAGATATCTAAGACGATCGAAGGGCCTCTGTTGGCAGGGTAGTTTCGGGGCTGTCTAGGGAGCGTAGATAACTGGTCTAGTGTTTGGTCTCAGGTCAATGATTCCCAGAAAAGCAAAGAAACGTTCTCACACGACGAGTTGCAGTATTTAAAAACTTTTCCTATAGAAATTTATCCTATGAGTATTCTGTTTACATCCGGTCTGTTATTATTGCTTTTTTTTAAAAATGTTTGTTTATTTCTCAGATAACTGGAGCCACTCCGTATTTCGCTGCTGTTTTTGTTGGCGGGCTTTTCATTGTCGTGGGCGTGGTAAGTGGCGATGCGTCTGGTCAATACATAGATAAATTTTCCTAAAACTCCTCTTTCGCATTCGTCGATGATAGCTGCAAATTAATGGACACCCTTAACTTTTACACTTGAAAGAATTGCTAAAATACTTTTTACTCTAAAGGAGCACCCTGAAAACTAAAAAAAATAGGTAAATAATCGGTATGTAACCTGCAGTATATTAGGTAGGTAGAAGGGGTAAATGGGAACTCATCCTAGTTTCCTTGCGTGTCCAATTTTCTTTTCCCCTCTGCAGCTGAGGCTGTACTGCATGAATGGCAAGAAATCCAAATTTTCTAAACTTTTTCCAGTGCAATTCCAGTTTTAAAGGTCATCGAATGGACACGAATTCTCTTCCAATTTGTTTGAGTTTTGATTTTTTTGTCTCATAGTTCCACATGCTGTTCGTACTAACAGCAAACTACGCCCATGTTCATGACCAAAGAAGAGTCGAAAAGGCCTCAGAATGTACCACTTGTAGGACATGCTGTACGGTAAAGGACCCAGACCGTTACGAGGACTGCTTCCCTGAGCCCCCAGTAGAAGAGGTCCAACTTGCTTTGCAAGAGAAATTGAAGATAGATGCGGGGGACCCTGAAGGAGGTGCCCACCCACATAACCATCCCAAGTGGAACTATGTATACGACTTCGAAAAGGCGCCGCTAATGTCTGGCAAAAAGTACTAATCGATTCCAGTTTTTTTAAGAAATTGACACCGTTCAAGTTTGTTCTCTTTGCTCAAGAAGAAAGGGATACCTTGTCTCATTTAGAATGGTGTGTTTGGTACCCTAGAGATGACTAACAAAGACGAACAACTCGCGTCACAAAAATAACCTTTTTAAGCTGCTTTGCAAAATAATTAACTGAACATGAGAAAAAACTGGGAACGGAAAAAATATATATACTTGTGTGATGAGCACAAGCATATTTTTGGAACAATGGTTCGTAAATTGACAGTTCGCGTAACAATCAGGACAGAACACAATGCAATACAGGGAGCCATTGAAGTCACTTTTTACTCACGGGGTGGGGGAACTTGAAAACCGGCGTTCGACGAGTCGTTCACACGAACAAGCTAAGGCTTCACGTATGACCATTTCATTTTGCCTCATCGTATTAAACAAAAAATGCAGGGCGCGTTTCTACCACGTGTGTGTGACATACCATTCGGGCAAATATTGTCATGTACACGAGCAAATTGTCAAGTGATAGTCTTATCTTAGATTCCCCAAAGTGACGCACCCTTGATTTTCTTTAAAACGCAGTACGTTTCTACGAGAGGAAAGAAAATAAAAAGCTTTGAAATAAAAAAAGCTAAAAAAGCTACGCAGAAAGCTTTGTATCTTTTTAACTACTTTTTTCTTTTTATTGCAAACACACAAATGTTTTATCACTTATAGCATATTAAACCGATAGCTGATAAATATCATTTTATTAATATTTATAACTAACTACAGGAGCCCAGCTCCTGTTAGCTGTAAATCGCAAATAAAATTGATATGGAGATTCATGGCCCAAAAGCTTTCTAACTATTTTAAAATTTAATTTTTCTTGTGCAGTAGTACTAAAAAGTTCTTTAGTGTGGAAAGGCTTTCGCAATTTTCGAACAACCTCGACCCCAGGGCTTTTCCTTTCCGCCCCTTCCACCCCACCCCGGGGAAGTAGCCTGCGTAGCCGGCGCTTGGAAGTAATGGGCGCAAGAAAGAAGGAGTCGTGCGGGGAAGCGCGCGCGGGGTATGGGGACGAGGCTGATTTTCAAAGAAATCTCTGCTTCTGAATATAACAGATGACTTGATTTGGAAGCTTTTCAACAAAACAACAGGCTGTCTACTATGTCTTTCTTTCGATTAGGCGACTGCACTTTGTTTGTCAGAGGAAATCCTCATAGTTTCCATTTTTCATCTTGCTAGACTCTAGGCCCACTCGATCGCGAGCCATCAAAGGCTTCATGGCCGTGAGCAGGCTGTGATAGAGGCCTGGAAACAATATTTCCTGAGCTGCCAGAAGCTGTTTTGTTCTATGACGCTCCTGAAAAGAAGAAATACAACAAAAGTTAAACATGAAAACCAATTAAAAAGGCAACAAATGCAAAAGTACTGACCTTGGGTGCTTCAAAACAGGCAGGACAGTTCTCCGCAATCACAGGAAGTTTGACCTTAAATAACACAAATTTTCACGATAAATTATGACATTATCTCACTTCTACATCCTATCTACATGTATTATTTATTAATAATTTCCAACCCCTGGCGAACTCTGGTTTTGTGGCAATAAACATTCCGCCGGGCTGGAAAATGAAGTACCGTATTTATTCGATGAACCGCCCTGGGCGCTTATTAAATTTTTTGGACCTTGAGAGTGGGCGCTTATTACATTTTCACCATTCTCAGCAAGTGTAGTAGTATATTTTGCAACAAAACAGTAAATGTTACTAACAAAAAGCGAAGATGTAGCAGAGCAAGGTTTCTGTAAAACACTCTGAAGAAAACTGCGTCTTCAGGAGGGTCTCTTATTAGTTTTTGTGGGAGGGAGTGGGGTGGGGTGGGCGCTTATTCGAGGCTGGGCGCTTATTAACGTTTTCTACCTTTAGCATGGGCGCTTAGTCGAGGTGGGCGCTCATTCGAGGTTGGGCGCTTATTCGAATAAATACGGTAAGTCTGCCGAAAAACGGAACAAAGTTTCGCCTGGCATCGGTCTTTGTCAGGAACTAATTATGTGTTCGAATAATTAAACATTACCTTTTCCGCAAAACTTCTCAATTCCTTCTCGCGTACATAAACTAAAGGCCTGATAACACGCAAATCACATTCCCTAAAATGTAAAGATATTTATTCATTAGCTTCATTTCCAAAAAAAAAAAAACAAACGTTGAATCTGTAGTCAGAGTTTTCAGTGAAACAAAAGAAAAACAATAGCATTTTCATAACAGAATAAAACCAACTAAAACGAAGAAAATATGATGTGATTAAATGAAATCCATTCATGATCTAACTTTGCGGGAAGAGCAAAACACGACAAGTAGTAACCTTTAAAACTAAATCTGATTAAAACATTAATATGTCTTTGTGCACGAAGGTTTTTGATGGAAAGATTTATAAGATTAAACAAATAATTAACAGGTTTGTTACATATACATACTTACAAGACGGTATAGTTCGCTTTCATTGTTCGCAACAGACCATTGTGAAATGCTGACATCAAAAAGCTGAAAATAAATGGCCAAATTTTCAAGGATCACGTTTGCGAAAAACCCGTTTTTCTTTTATCGCTGACCGTGCTTTCACATTCATAAAAAAAAAACATGCGGGACAAAACTTTACTCTGCATCCTGCCGTTTCTCGATTGCCATAAAGGCGGTGCTTGACCTCTCTTATGGCACCGAAAACAATTTTAATTTTGTTAGGGACATTTATACAAGGAGGAAGTTGGTGTAATCCAGAGAGGGAGGGAAAAAAAAGGGCCGGGGAAGTGGCATGTAAGACGGGTTATACTCTTTTCAACGTAGACTTCTCTAAAGGGTAAGCAACTAATTTCAACAATTCGTAGCCTGTATACACCCTCTCCTCCCCTCAAACAAAATCGGTGTCCCTCTCCTGGATTTTGTTTTTACGGGAGGGGATGGCTAAACACAGGTTACCATTTGGCGGCGCACCCACCACTCCTGACAGAGCCTGAGGGTGTTATACAGGGCGGATCCCCACATATCACTGGCTGTTAACAAAAACAGGAAAGAATTTTTATCCGGCTCACCTTTCAGCCAGATCATCAAGATGCTGTCCCATAGCGAGCACGTTGTATCCTTCGCGCCTTGCACATGCATACAAGCGTCCACGCTTCATCCGGGAACAAAAACTACATATAGACTCACAAACAGTCAGCTGAGCTGCTTGCTGTATGATTCCTGTTTGGAAGATAAATTTCAAACGGAATATATTGTTTTATCTGGACAAAAGATAAAAACTCAATTTATCAAATACATTGCAGGTACACAAAGCGAAGAAACCTGAAGGGTTTTTTTCTTTTGTTCGAGTTAAATTCAATGCAATTTTGTATGCGGTTTTGACTATTCTACTGGACGAAATTAGTTTACCAAAAGCTTATGAAAGAGACTTCGTTAAAAACGAAAAAAAGACCGAATTTTTAACGACTTCAAATGTAAAATAGCTGTTTATCCGCCACGGTTTTTTATCTTAAGACAAAAAGATTCTACTTAAGTTCGAATTAGGAAAAACAAACGTTGAAAGCGCTATCTTTGCTTTCACAGTTCATAGCTCGACATACCTTGCTCTTCAAAAAAGTAAGGAACACCAAGGGCCGCTAAATACTGGACCAGAGGTTTGGGGTCATATCCTGGGGACTGAGGGTCCACAGTGGCGGCTCCCAGTTCAAAATTTATGCCCTAACAAAAGAGCCATAACATGAAAACAAAATCTATCTAATAATCCCCAATTGTATCACCATATAACGTTCAATGTTAATCAATTATAGTAGAAACGTTTGCAAAAATCCTCTGAATTCGAAAAGAGGCGGAGAAGTGGGTGGGGACTGGTGGACCAGTGGTGACAACCTCGTTCCCGAGGGACGGGAAGAAGAGGCAGCCTGAGAACTAGGTTGTGGTGGAGTGGTGATGAACGCGACAAACCGAAAAACTGGGCGGGCTTAACCGTGAGTTAGGCTGTTTACAGTGGTATGTTATTGCCTCTACCGCCAACATGGCGGTCTGTGCGCAGTAAAAAACCGCCACCTGCATTGGTTGCGCTAACTCAGATTTGTCCAGTAGATCATTCATAACATGGGAGCATACCTTAGATTTGCTGTAGAACTGATATTGATGTAAAGTGTGAAGTAACGAAAGCGAGTCCTTGCCTCCTGACAGACACACTAGCACTCTGTCTCCATTGCGAATCATCTCGTACTCCTCTAAAGCCTGCAATTAAAGAGAAACAAAATGGCTTACTACAGTGTGAGCTGCTAGTGTTAACGGCCGGTTAAACAGAGAAATTGTACGATTTTTCTTTTTTTTGTCCCTTTCCTCTTTATTCCTTAAAGAAACTAAACTTCTCGCCAAGAAATCTGCAGCCTCTTCATACACCTCATACAATGCCTTTTTACACCCAGGATAAATATGACCAGAAGGAGAGAAAAGGCAAAACGAAAGACACTGAAAAAACGGGGGAATATGAGATGTTTTTACACAGCATAAAATTCTGATAGTAAAAACTTATTAGCCTGTTCGAGGCTCTAAGTTTGGGGGGATAAAGAGGCAAGCAAAGAGGAAAGCTAACGAATATTCTCGTTCCCAGAGCTTCCTCTTCCTCTTTGTCAGCAAGGTCTGGCATCAGGAACTCGTTCTCAGACCTCGCCGGCTAAGAGGGACAGGAGGGTCTGAGGACGAGAATAGCGAGGGCGCTGTTCTCTCCCTCTTCTCAGTTTCCGCCGGTTTCTTCACCTGCCGGTCTCCTTTTTGCTCGTCCCGACAGACTGAAAGCCTTAAACATGCTCAGAAATTATCGGTACAAAAAGGAAACAGCTTCCGCGTGAATTATTTCTAATAATTGTTTTCATACCTGGGTGGCTGGTTTAAAAATAGTCTTGGGAGGATGATGAAACTTGGGTTTACCCGAGGTCACTTCATTTTGTTTCTTCTTTCGCGGTTTTCGGCGACAAACAGCCTCTGAAATCGTTATAGTCTCACTGCCTTCGGAAGAAGGAACTATCCTTTCCCTCGAAGAAGAAGTGTTTAGGTTTAATTTCTGGTCAAAACTGTTTGATATTTCACTTGTTTCACTGTCAATAAGGGAACCACAATCGTTCTTCGGTCCATTCAAAGATGTCTCACTCACTAAAGCACTTGTGATTGTGTTTTCTCCTTGCTCAGGACAGTTAAGTATCCTTGTTTCGTCAAAAACCTTTCCGTGATTCCTTCTACGTGAGAGTAAATCTTCACCTGCAAGTTCTGTATCCATGTCTTCAGCGTTAAATCTAGGTTTATCCCCTGCGCCTTCCAAAGATCTGTTGCAAACATGTACCAAAGTGGTTTGATTTTCTTTTATTTCCGCAGAGTCAGGCAAATCTCTGAGTCTTTCAGCATCATTATTGCATTTGTCAACACTAGAAATAGAAATCCCCGCGATGTTGTTACCAATTTCACGTTTTGCAATACAACCACAGTTTGTCACCCCGTTCAAATCTCTTTCCTCTGTGTTTTCTCTCAGTGTAGTACATTTTTCTATGGGAGCTACAGAAGACTCCATATAATGAGCCCCTGTCGAATGAGCGCCCTGCGGGACACACAAGCCATTCTTCCATTGTAATGGAGTAAAAGGCGCCTTTACCGGATAGTCTTTAAGTTGTTTACCGTTCAGCAGCTGCGCCGCTTCACTTGGAAGCAAAAACCAGCGTAGCTTTTCACCTTCCTCGGCCAAAAATAACGTTTGATCACAAACACTGTTGATAGCCTGAGGAAAGAAAATAAACTTCTTAGGGTAGACTGAAAATTTGTAGTCACCAACAACATAGATAATTGTCTTGTACCGTACTTCTTGATAAAAACTTTCTTGCAAATGATCAAAAGTTTGAAACCAACTCATGCAACACAACAACAGGAAATAACAGAACTATTAAAGGCCGGGACGGAATTTTGAACACCACCGAGTTATTCTGTTCATGCTTAAGATGAAAAAAAAATCGTCTTTACCCTGTTTAAGGTCGCTTTCTGTAGAATTTCTTCAGCGTTTTTGAGGCACTCCTGGATGTTAAAGAAGAAAACTAACATCAAACCCTAGATTCTTAATAAATTATAAATAAATATGGGTAAGGAGAACAAAGAAAAGCACTACAATGCCACGAATTAGTATTAATTGTCTTTATTGTTATTCCCAGCCATTCCCAGTAACTATTTCGTCTCTAAAATATAAAGCAACGGTCACTGATAAACAACCATTTTTTAACATCAAAATCAATCGATTGTGAACTGCTAATTTAAGTTGGTTGGTGGTTGCAACGCTGTTTTACCACTCTCGATTTTCGCCGTTTTTTCGAGTCCGGTCTCAATCACAGGGCTTTACTTGGGTGAAAAAAAAAATTATTTCACTAATCCAAAAAGTCCCAGAGAACTTAACCAATTGAAATTAAAAGGAAATGGCTGTAGCATGCGCCAAGGACAGGAAACATGCGCGAGCAACTAATGATTGGTTCCTTTGGCTAAGAACTAAGCGGCGTGAGATTTTTAGCCAATCATAAAGCGTGATGATGCAAAAGCAAGGAAAACCGCGTTAAGACTCATCCCATGTGGGACTAGTTTCCTACCGTGTGTGAACTCGGGGCTCCTTCTGCGCAAGCGGGGGATGATGGATAAGTCATGTGACCCTCTGAGTAAGTAATTGAACCAAGCCACTTTCGGTCACGAAATACCTAAAAAAAAAACAAGGCAAGGCTAATGGCTGGCCAAAATACGGGAAGGATCAAGTCAAACGGTTTAGAAAAGTTCTGAGAAGTCTAACTGTTGTGAAATGGAAAACAAAAACAAACACACAAAGAAAAGGCATTATTAAAGAATTGCGTGCATGTCACCTGATGTTTTCTGTGTTTCCACTCTCCAGTCTCAGGGTTAAACATGTACTAAACAGGACAAAAACGAATAAAATGAGCAAAAATATCTAAAATATACACGAGGGAAGAGTGACTGTCACTAGCCTGCACTGTATATGTTAAAACCTTCACCCAGGTCACTTTCAAGATCAATTACCAGGCATCAACTTGTAAGGTTACTTTTGGGGATCATTTTTCCCTCCCAGTTGGTTACTTTCAGTGGATCGTTACTTTCCCCCCCTTTCCTATTCCCTGTCTTCAAGAATTTGCCAGCTTCCTCTTCGTCCTACCCACCACAAGAGAGCCCGATGACAGGCTGGGATCCTTACCATTAAAAACTGACCTTTTACAGAAATATTTAATTACCTGTGGTAAAAGTTTCCAGCCATGTTCTGCCACCATCTTCACTGCTTTTATAACAAACTCGACAGAATCATCTGACATAAAATACGGCAAATTAAGCCGCACAAAACCTGGTCTGGGAAGAACATGTGAATTGATATTTACACGTGTACTTTATTCTAGTTAGTTCAAAGTCATAATAAATCCGAATTGCAATTAGGAAGCCGTACGTTTTGAGGATCAACGTCAATTAATTGGATTTGGCGTGGGAAGACGTAAAGGTCACAATGATGATGTTTTGTTGGTGATGAGGATGACGATGATGATGATGTCAACGATGATGACAATGATGAGGTTGACGATGATAACAATGATGATGATGACTGTAATGAAATTATCCTTAAATGAAGTTCCACAAAATTAAGAATAAGGTCAACTGAGTTCGTGCCCAATGCACGAGAAACGAAAGGAAACGACTTGTCAAAATTGGAAAACGTGCTCTGTTCAATGTCACCAGGAGCCGATTACTCCTGATGTAACATGATCCTTAGTGTTCAAGTAGGGGACCCCTTTTGGGAATCCGTACAATCATGATGACAATGATGAGGAGGAGGATGATGATGATGATGATGAAAAAGTGTTTCGAACACTTACCTCAAGATTTCTCTTTCAGAGTATTCATGGTAGCGTCGGAGGTGAACTCTGTCTAAGCGACTGTTTAAGAGGAAAATGTTAACATCATTCTTTTCATAAGGAAAATAAACAATAGCTTTGTTAGAACTAATTAAACTAAATGAAACTGTGAAGGTTTAGAATTACAGAATAGTTATACTAGTACCAAAAAGAAAGCAATGATTTAGTCCTGAAGAAGGTGAACTTCTGATAGATCACGAGACAAACAATTGAAGCTGCAATAATCACGACTGTGGAACTTGTAAGTTCAGAAACTGTAATGATCAAGCACTATAGGCCACAAACCTGTCTTCCAATATGAGGTTTTCAATTTCTCTTGCTAGTTCCTCGTTAATTCCCAACAGATTCTATGACAAGGGTAAAAAGCAAAGCCGTTTACAGCGGACAATTAACTTTAGGAATATGCTAATACGAAATTTCAGCGTACCTGTGCATAGGGGCCAGCACATGCACAGCCTCCACGGGCCTGTATTCCAAACAGATCATTCAGGAGGGCACATACAAAGTTGTGATGTAAGAACAACCCTGAGATTGGGTGCCTGATCAGAAATGAAAAGATCGGGAGGCGAGCCACTGCTGTATTCCCCAACAGAACAAGATTCTCATTGTTGTTCCATGCTAATAGGGCTCTCCTGTTGAGAAACAAAATTCTTTCTGACGATGTTGCTATCAATTCAGTTAAAATTACCACTCCAAAATGAGGTGAAAGTATACCCAGTAAGCCTTTACAATGAGCTGATAATGTAAAATATATAATCATCAAAAGAGCTTAGGAATACCCAAAATCCATAAATTATCACGATCACAACATAGCCTCCCATGTAGAGTTCTTTTGGCTTGTCACTCAATCCTCCCCAACGTCGGGCAGAACATGTGACGACTCACAAAACTGCTTAATTCAAAACTGGGTCCTGTACTTACATTATTTTATATTTTGTGGTTATCAGTATCAAAGAAAAGAAGAAAAATGGCATATGTAAATACTAACCTACATAAATCTTCCTCTCGGGTCATGATGGCAGCTGAACCTATTTCCTGAGGAAAAAAAAAGGCCCCTTAAGTTTAAAATAATTTTTAAAACTAAAAAAAATGCAGTAAACATGACCCACCCCACCATACTCATTGCTACAATGTTGCTGGTCAAGACGTTCAGATGAGGGACTACTCAGTGATACTGTAGAAGAAGAGGCCAGTCAAAAAAAATTGAATATCAAAAAGATCTCATGCAAATCAAAGAACTTTGTACAAGCATAAACAATAACTAGGTATCACTTGAATGGTCACACTTAAGGATTCATCAGCCACAGACAGAGTATTGCAGAGAGTTTTCATTTGAATGGTCACACAATAAAATTTCATTCACAGGCTCAAACATAGTTAAAAGCAGTCTCGGACAATAAACTTGTCATTTTGCCACCATTAGCTACTTCTCAGTAGTTTTTACTTGAATGGTCACACCATTTCAGTTTGTCAGCAGACTCTTAAGTTAGACCGATCTATACCTGTCATTACATCACATGTCTACATGTCCTAACTATGGTGACCCTGAAAATTATGTGAAACTGTTTAATATTTATCCTGTACCTGTTTCAACTGAAAGACCAGTCCAGCTCTGATGGCACCTACAATAGCTGGGGTTCCAGCCTCCTCCCTCATCTCAATCTCCTTTAGGTATCTATGAGAGTTCTCTGTCACCTTAAATTGCAAAAAAAAGAAATGGTCAAATACAACAGGAAAGCTGGAGAGGGGGTAGGGCGGGACAGTTCTACAGTGGCCAAGTTGCTATGTGGTAGAGCCAGTGAATTCAGTTTTTTTGTCGTTCAAACAATGTTTACTCTGTTTTTTCTCTGTTTTATTATAGCTAAGTTGCAACTAATGAGCAGCGCAGCTCCTTCAAAAATGTTCTTTACTTACAAAAAACACAGAGCCTCCACCGCAACCTGAAGGTACAGGGTTCCTAAATAAACTTTTCTTGGCAATGAGGATCCCTGAAAAAGGAAACAAATTGTTCATTTT